ATGACAGTAATGAATTATCACATTAATTATTCATTCAAAGAGTCGTAACAATAGTTCTCAAAGTCCATATATGGATATTCATATAATGTGTGGACTTTTAGATTGACTTTTTCTTGTTCTTTATCTTATTTGAAGCACTCCAAAAGCATTTTACGAAGAAATAACATGGCACATTCAATCGTTGACCTCGATTTTTGTACCTCCAATGTAGTTAACAGATTCCAAGGCCTTTCACGTCCATGTAAACCTGATTCTAAACATTATGACAAACCGTAACCATATGGGCGTCCTTTGGTGGTGGTGAAGTTAGTCGTGTGCACTCCGACGATCAAATCAGTTAAAGTGACATGTATATTGAGTATGGGAGGTGCTTTAGACGTGAGCCTCCTATGTAAAAATGGGTTCGACTTTGAGGAAAATTAGTAAGGAGGACAAAATTATTGCTTGATAGTGTAAACTTGCATTGCCTTTGGAATGCCACATCGCGTGAGCTTTTATAGTAGAAGATGATGAATAATATCCGTGGGATGAAAAAAATACACGTGGCTAAGGCTCTTACCAAAGGCATCAATCAATCATAAGCGTTAAATGTCTATACCACTTTGTTGCGCAAAAGTCTGACACAAGACTTAGACTTGACACGTTTGATTGAATGGGACAATGACAACAGTGAATCGTCACATTAATCACTTATTGAATATTGCATAAAAGATTTTTTGTTGAGCCCCTTGCAATAACGCCTTGTCCATGAGGATTAGATTCTCCATATGGGGTTGACTCCAACAATGGGTCAGCTCTCCATAGAAGTTATACTTCATGGGGGTTTCGGCCAAGATTGTTTCTTGGGGTAGAATGACATGGAGTGTGGGTCCAGAATTGCCTGCCTTGTAAGTGCCATATAGGAGTTTTTGAAACCTTTATTGGAAGAGATGTAATAGAAATATCCCAAAAGATCACCTTTGAGGAGGAGAAAACCAGCCCAACATGAAATACCTACAAAGATCAGTTGATAAAAAGCTATCTTAACTTATAGGGATGGCTTGTCCACATAGTTGTCGAGGAAAGGGTTAAAGGGGTACAAATGTTTGAAACCTGGACAAATACTACATCGTAGGATAATGGATGGAGCAATAGCCTCCGTTTTGCCACCAATTTGTAAAACTCATTTTCTATCGAACTTTTTTTTTTCGAATATACATTTTATTGAATTCAAAACTTTTATCAATTTTTCAATCATATAATTCATCATCTTTTATCGTAATCTACCAAAACTGATTTTTATTTATTTATTTTTTAAATAAACAATTAGGGGCAATATGTTTATCGACAGACCACCAGCTACAAACAAGCATTACCTTCCAATTTTTTCAAGTCTATATTCTGATGATCATATGATGAAGATTAATACCTTGATTTGTGGTCCACTTAGTGTTGACTTTATGGGTATTGCATTCATTTACTTTATAAGACTCTTGAAGCTAAAGCAGATGCTTATATTTGATAATATATTTCAAGAAATTTTCTGAGGATCACTTGATCCCACATGAGACCATATGCATCCGTCACTGCATCAAGATTATTAGGACCTTGATAATGTAAGACGAAGATCATTGCAAAATAAGCGCAATAGAAATTGTGTGATGAAAAATGAGAATAGAGAGAGATCGACGTAAAGATAGGTAGACGTTTTGTTATGCGTTATGACAAGAGCAAGTGTTTTTTTTTGTAGTAGTGTGTTTTTCTTTGCTTATTTGTTTTTACATTATTTTGTTTATGAATGTTTATTTTGGTTGTGATAGGATCATGAAGAATATTAACTTTTTATTGTATTAATATAATATAATTCGTGACGCTATTTAATACTTGTTTAATAGATAGGTAACTTTTATCTCACGCACTTCTCGCTAGTATAATATAAAAGACAAGTCATTCAAAACTAAGGTCAAGAGAATCATATCAAAATTATTTAAGGTTGGAATCAGTTAGGGGAAATTGCAATATTGATCCGCAACCTAAACTGTTTAACATATTATCGTCCCAAATATATGTTTCTTGATAGCATGGTCCCAACCTATAAGTTTAGCGCAATGTTCGTCCCTATTGACAGATTTTGTCTATTGCAATGTTGAAAAGTCAAAATTATCTTTCGAAACCAAAACTTTATTTTCAGTTATAATTAAACAAGGAGGAAAAAAAAAAAAAAGAAAAAGAAAAAGAAAAAGGAATGAATCTGTGATTGAGGGCCAATGCTTGGATGGGGACCATGCTGTCAAGAAACATATGTTAGGGACGATAATACAACAAAGTGTATAGAATGGGGACCTGCATTGCACTTTTCCCATTAATTTTAAAATTTTATCAACTTTTTGAAATGAACGTCAAAACTCTCTGTTGTCTTATTACCACTCGCATCCCCTAGTGCGTATAACATATTCCCTTTAACATATCCTCTACGAGGACTAATTTTCTTAAAAATTGTCAATAATAATTATGACAATATTGGAAGAAAGAAACAAGATATTAATTTAATGAGTTTTGCTAATTTGTACAATAGGGGTTGATAACCTACTTACATGAGGAGGTCCACGATTTTTTTATTCATCATAGATCCCCTTCCATGTGTGTGATTGTCAATTGAGGTTATCAACTCCGATTGTACATGTAACATGCTTGTTTAAATAATTTTCAATTTTAGAAAATTGGGTAATTGGACCGGGTACCGTCCCAAGGTAGGTATGGGTAACAGGGCCCTCGCCCTACTCCCACCTTTTAAAAAAAATAAAATATAAAATCAATGCTTTAAATGTAATAATTGCACGAAATTTCATTAATTCTAATTGATAATAACAACTAAGATTATTTGAGGAATATGATAAACAATAAAAAATTAGTTTACAAAATATATTTCAATATTTTCACTTTTAAGAATAAGTAAATTAATTAAAAAATTTAATAACTATATTATTGTCTCACTTGAATGAATGGAGACAACAAAATAAATTAACAAAAACTATTAAAAAAATTAAACAGGTTCATAAACGAGGCAACCTCCCTACCCCGCCTCGCCTCGCCTTAAATGGTGAAGACATTTTAGTAAAGAATAATGCTATCCGGTGCTAATGGTATAGAACATCAATATCAATGTTATTATTTAAGGATCATGCTATTTGTACAACTTTGGTTGACAACTTCAAACTCGGTAGCATCACATTCATCTATTTTAAAAATTGTTAAAAACTATTTTTAAATCAAAGGCCGAATTTTGACAACACCAAAGTCGTCAACAAGGGTTGTACAAGTAGCTTAATTCATCATTTAATGGATTCAATGAAATGTAGAATCATGTGGCTCATTTAATTGTTCATATCATTTAACGATATTCAACGCTAACTAAATTGATGTTGTAACGCTATTGATGCTAAATATAATTACTCTTTAGTGGAAGGGCATTGCAATCATTTTTGTACAATTGAAAGCTGATCATATTGAAGAATGTTTAGACCATAGATAAATTTAATTTTAATAAAAAAGTAGACTTGTCTAGAAAACGAGATTCCCCTATTTGATCGCCATTAAAACCTAGATTTTTATTAAAGTTAAAGTTAACAATTAATTTTAACCACAAATGTCATAAAACCACAACTTTTCCATCAATCATTTCGTCAATTTTATTAAAAATTTCTAAAATTCTGATTTTAACCTCGACCAAACCAGAACAATTCATCACCACTTTTAGCTATGTTATATTAAGTTTATTTCATTAATGGTATCCTCTAATACTAACAAAACTTATGAAGTTCATATGTATCATGCTTCAATGAATGAATTTATCATAGAATAATGATATTTATAGTAAGAATCATCATCAATCGTCTTACATGATATACATTCAACAATTTGTTATTTGATGTATGAGTGTGTGTAGTTTTTATTACCTCATGCATCAACAAACAATTTTGCCGTATATATGCCGCATAGTACGACCATCGAATAATTTTCACTATGTATTGCACTACTCTTATTCACCCACTTCGTCTTTACTTCTTATTAGCTTCTAATTTTTTTTTCTTCTAATTCATAATTAATGGTTTTTATCATTCACTTTTGCACTTCTGTTGGCACAATCCTCTTTATCGTATCAATCCAACGTATAAATGTACGTTTCTTTCGAAATAAAGAAAAAATAATTTGTCGGATAGTGGATAATTCACCTACGATCATGTTACGGTTACAATTCAGTCGCAATCATTTAATCTTATGGGTTTTCACGCATTTTAAATTATCTTATTATTTTGGGATCCTGATTTTAACATTGCAGTAGTGAACACGCTCACTAATAGTGTGTGATGAAAAGCCAATATAAAGAAAGATTCTTTGGGACCTTACCCTCGACCCAATTGTCCTCATTCACTCTATGAATGATTGCACAATCAGAGTGGAATGACTTTTAATTACAACTAAGAACCATGTCCCTCCAACTCCTCACCCCACCCCACCCACCCCACCCAATACCATCAAATTCGATATTCTGTGATATTTTTACTGAAATGTTAGGTTGAACTTGAATTACAAACATCTAATGTTAAGCATTCTCTCCGGAGACTGATTTTATTAACAAAAAGAAAATAGTGCGTCTAAGTGATAGTTGCATTCATTTTTTAAACGTTGTCGTCTCATTTATGTGTATATAATAAGAAAGTATGGTGTATAAAGTCTCAATTCCTTAAAGCTTTAGCAATGAAAGGAAAGAAAAATTGCATACACGTACAATAATTTTTTGCCAGAATTCTTATAGATACACACTCGTCAAGATTTGATTCGCAGTTTTAACCCAATTGCAGGTTTCTAGGTTCTTTCCTCAAAGTATACCACAAAAATACTTGAAAAAACAGAATCATCTTCGGTTATGTACCATTTTTATGTACAAGTAGCAAAATTCAAAATGGAATATGAAGCTGTGGCCAGAGAAGGAAATAGTTTTAATTTATTATTTTATTCTATGAAATTTAAATCCAGGATATTATAAGAAGATGACAAATCAGCCCATCCATTCAACCTCAGTAGTGGTCCTCTTCCATCAATGCAATGATAACCCCATTCTTATCCTGCACTCATTTTCTTCTCTTACTCTTATCCTGTGCACCATTCTACCTTTCTCTGAGCTCAAAAAAGAAACAACTCCATTGACGCTGCAGTTTTGGTGTTGTGTTTTCCAAATTCAAACATGTCAGTTTCGTGTTCTCCAGTGGTATGGAGCAGAGAAGAAGAGAAATCTTTTGAAAATGCCATTGCAATGCACTGGATAGAGGACTCCAAGGATCAATGGGATAAGATTTCCTTGATGGTTCCGAGCAAAAACACTGAAGAGTTGAAACACCACTATCAACTTCTTGTGGAAGATGTAAATGCAATCGAAGCTGGACATGTTCCATTACCCAATTATATTGGAGAGGAAACATCCTCATCAATCAAGGATCATCATCAAGGTATGCGTCATGGTACATATTCCATCGGAGAATCCCATTGTGGGTTTTCAGGATTAGGACACGATTCCACCAGCACGGGTGTAGCTTGTAAAGCAGGATCCAGGGCGGACCAAGAGCGCCGAAAAGGGATCCCATGGACAGAAGAAGAGCATAGGTATGAGCCATTAATGACAGACTTCATTAATAAAGACATTCTACTTTTGAGTCTTTTCATATTAAAGTTTGATAAGAATGCCTGCTGAAAGTGTTCTTATGTTCATTCTTACCAGGTTATTTTTGCTTGGCCTGGACAAGTTTGGGAAAGGGGATTGGAGAAGCATCTCAAGAAACTTTGTCGTTTCCAGAACCCCGACACAAGTTGCAAGCCATGCCCAAAAGTACTTCATTCGACTCAATTCCATGAACAGGGACAGAAGGAGATCGAGTATCCACGACATTACTACTGTGAATGGTGACGCGGCATCCCATCTGGCACCGGTTACAGGACAACAGACGAACCCCATTCCGCTTAATGTAGCGGCACTTTCTCCTGCAATGAAGCATAGGAACCAACCAAACATGCATGGTTTAGGCATGTATGGAGTCGGGCATCCAATTGGTGCCGCTCCTGGTCACATTGAATCTGCAGTTGGCACTCCGGTCATGATTACTCCAGGACATCATCATCCCCCTTATGTTGTTCCAATGGCGTACCACATGCCACCACCGCCACCCTCCATGCACCAATAACAAGTACCTACATCAATGCCCATTATTGGAAGCTGAACCTTTGAACCCTGCTTTTGAAGTCCGATTGCGTAGTGGCCTCCACTGATAATGGCTTGTTGAAGTTGCTTCCTACACTGACATTAGATCGTGTTACCAGCACAATTGTAATAACATTGTTACAACTCTGTACATAATAATAGATCAAAAATTGACAGAACACTATTCTTGGAACATAATAATGCAGGGATAAGTTTCAATTTTCTGTTTTCGAATTTGTATGTCAGAAGCAGCAAATAAGAATGACAATCTTTTTTTATTAGGCTTATAAAATATTAAAACAGTTGGATTCCAAAAGAAAATCAAAAGAAACAAATTCTATGTTGCGTGTCATCACTGAAACAAAACATCAACCAAGATTGAAATCTTGACTGTCTACAATTCTGATATCCAACTTAAAGCCAAAATAAAATGGAGAACCGTGTAAAGTATAACATTTTTTCAATTCTCAAGAACTAGCATTGCAGATGCAGCTGCTGCATCCATAGAACCATCTATTGAACAATTAGTTTCTTGGCAGGCCATACTCAGATGGAATCACCAAATATCAAAATGATCCAACTTCATTTAGTATCTGTTACTAGTTTGTATGACTAACAAGTAGACCATCAATTACTTAAAACGAGAAAAGTAACAACTCACTGAACTCATATAAAACATTGGTGAGATGTTGGTAAAAAAAATGTGTTTATTCTTCCAAGAACAGTAAATTGTGGGAATACTTTTCAAGTGTGGAAGGCCTAGTAAGATATTTGGCTGCTCAAGTGAGGGCCAAAAATCTCATTTCAAGACTCAGTTGAGAAAAACCAAGAAAACCTCCCTAACTATGAATGAATATCTTGAAGATTAAACAGTCCATTAATTGTATGAGTTAAGTACATATTGATGCCATTCTGAAGGATTATCAGCAAAATTTGAGACATTTATTCTTTCGATTGAGCTGCAAACAGAACCCTACTCCATTGAAGACATGAGTCACTGTTGTTACTCAATATGGAGTAGAAAAGAAACACAAGGAAATGAACTTTTCATTTCCAACCCCAAGGCAGTATGCTTATTTTGGGCCAGAACTCAAAGCGGGAAAGACAAAATTCAGTGGTGTCAATGCCAACCTCAACCCAAATTTGGGGTTCAGAACGGTTTAGGAGGACAATTTTTTGGTGGAAGGAATAATGATCAGAAATTAACAAGAGGAAGTCTTGCTTTTGCTTACGGAGGGAAGAGTTTGTGGAGCTCAATGTAATAGTGGAAGAAGTTCTTGGTCTCAAAACAGACCTGAGACCTCATTGTCAACATAAGAAGCACGGATGCATATAAACTTATTATGTACCAATATCTAACATGTATCAAAATTTGGATACTCTTTCAATTGCTTCAATAAGTATCGGATGCACGTTTTTTAATAAAATTATATTTTCTATATTTTTTAAATTTTCAATACTTATCGGATACATTTTTTTTTTAATTATTTTCGATATCTACCGAATATGTTAGGACACGTGAAGAAGAGTTTTATTGGTTTTAAACTCTTAAAATCAGTGTTCTAAATAGCGTAAAGTATGGCTAGGCGTGGAGCAGAAGTTTCAAGCTTTACGAGGTTAAGTAAGCTTAGGTGCTTAGGCGTAAAAATACATTTTCTTATTTATAATATTATTTTAAAATTTTAATCATTTTAAAAAATATTTAATAATTAAAATAATATGTATCAAACATCTATAATTATAAAACATAATATTTACTTAATAACTCCAACCATTAGTCAATTATATATAATTTTCAAATTTTCGAAATGTAAAAATTAGAATATTTTTCATAGCTTCAATTTTCAACTAGACAAGTCTATTTTTAATGATAATGAAGATGATATTGCTGATGTTGAAAAAAATGAAATTAGGGCAATTAAGGATTAAGATAAAATACTTTAGTATTTAATTTTATTTTTATCATTGTGCTTCTGTTTTAATTTTTAAAAAGTTGTATTGACATGCCTGTATCATATTGTATTTGAATTACATATCCAAATCCGTGCTTAGATGTCCACTTTGTTCAAGAACAGGTTATGCAGTACTGCATTGCAACCATCATTCTGATCTGAATTCCAACATCAACGAAGCAATTCTCAATTCCGAATTCCAGAGTGGAAGGGGTCAAGTGACAAATCCTTGCCACTCAAGAAATTCTCGATGGTACAAACAGGTATTTCTGACTCGGGAGCCTCACCATGTCAATGCTGCTGCTGCAATGGAGCAGACAACATTCGGTTCAGGTTCACATAGGCAATTATTGGATCTATCAATTAAACATCTTCGCTTCCCTTTATACTTTCAAAATTCATTTGCTTCAACATCTTCTATCTATTATATAACCAAAAATCTTTTGTCTCTTAAAACTTGCCAAGTATAATAATGTCCTCTTTAAGTTTCACTTACATTCCTTTTTTTTCACATAATGAATCATCTTTTGAAATCTGCACTGCTGGAACGGGAGTTTATAAATGGACTCTATATCTGATCACTCTCAATTTGCTCTCAACGACCAACTGTAGCAACAATCATCCCAGGTGTCCACATCAAAAGTCAAAATTCTCGCACACTACTACCCTCTAATTCTAGCTCAATGTTTAGTCTATGGCATGATAGCCATTCTTTTGAGAAAATTGTGAAGATTGCAATTGAAAGTTGTGGATTACCCCAATTCTGATAAAATTTCTTATTCTTTATGTTCCACATGTTGTTTTAGTAAAATTCATGAACTTTGCTTCAAAAGAATGAAATTTCCGCAATACACATAAGAAGATAACATGGCTAATGAACGGAATTCACCAACTAAAAGTCTGCAGCTCTAGAACCTAGCTTTGTTGAAAATGCTCATGGGGAAGTTGATATGACACTGTGGAATTGAAATAATGAATGTTATCACTTAATTCGAAGAATACAATATCTGCTATATATAAATGAGATGCCCTTAAATGCAAAAATAGAAATCAACTGATTTGCTTATATCAGATCCCTTAAAATCAGGGATTTTTGAAACAACTATTTCCTGATTCTAAGAATACAAATCTTTACAATTTCCTAAAATATCTAACCATTGACACTACGTATTGTCCATTCCCTGCTTGGTAACAATTGCTTGAATTGAGAAACAGGTTTGGTATCAACTGAGAGAAGAAATTAATTATCTTCCTCTTTCTAATTTAATTATATAGACTAAAAATTACAATTTATGGAAACTCAGTACAAATATGAAAACCAAATAGCTCATTGCCTAATATACGTGATTCTTCGCTAATTTACTTCTTTAACACTCCTTCTCAAGTTGGAGCAATGTATATCATATAAGCCCATCTTGGAACAAAGAAACTTCAACCGATTATCGTTTAGCGACTTCAGCAAGCTGGTTTCTGGTCTTCACAAGCTATATATATATATAGAAAATGTTGCAACCATGTCAACTCACTAGTGATATGAACCATAGCCCTGTATTCTACTTCTGCACTTGACCTTGCTGCTGTAGATTATTTCTTACTTTTCCGAGAGACAAGATTACTATCGAAAAAGTACAAAAACCGATAGTAGACTGCCTATCCAAAGGGGATCCTGACCAATTTGCATCTGTAAAACCTTATACTTTGATGTGTCCATTTAGTTTGTACAATAAACCGGGACCTGAAGCTTTTTTCAAATACCGAATGTGTATTATAACTTCTCAATGAGGAATTCGAGAAGCATCCAAGAATTGACTGATGACGCTAACTGCATAGGAAATATCTGGCTATGCGATGGTAAGATAATTTAAGTCCCCAACCAAATGAAGAATTTTACCTATTCTCCAAACATTTGTCATTCATCCTTCAAAAGCTTCATATTAAGATCTATGGGAGTATCAACTGGTCGAGCTCCGAAAAACCCCATCTCATCTAACAGGTCAAGTACATACATTTTTTGAGATAAGTTGATACCCGTCTAAAATCTAGCGACTTCGAATGATCTGTATGACACCTCTAAAAGCCAAACTCCAAAACAACCTCAGAAAACTTCCCAAGCCACGACCTTGTTGATTGTTTTAACACATTCAAAGCCTTTTTTAATTTACAAACATAGTTCTGATACACCTCTTGAGCAACAAACCCAGGTGATTGCTCCATATAAACCTCTTCATGTAAGCTAGTATGAGGTAGGGATTCTTAATATCCAACTAAAATAGTAGCCAACCAAGATTAGTAGCAATAGAAATCAGATGAATAGAAGAAATCTTAGCAACTGGAGAGAACGTCTCAATCTAATCAATACCATAGGTCTGTGTAAACTTTAGCAACTAGTTGAGCTTTCAATCGATCAATTGTCAAATCGAGATTGAATTTCGGAACATATATCCATATGTTGGAGGAGCTTGACTTGTTGAATCGGTGTTAGCCTTTTGGCTCTAATACCAAGAAAGGAATTGAAGTATTTTAATTGAATTTTTCAGCTCCAATGACCACTTACTCTGTTCTCCTTATATACACGATTACAACACAATGATGTTACATACAAAAAGGAATATTCTATTCCTACGTATACATTGATACCAAGTCTCTAACTCAGATATTCTCCCACTCCTAGAATCAAGGAGATACACTGCCTTACATGGAGAATGCTGCTATGTAGGCCAGCGATCTGTGACTATGGAAGATTCTAGACAATTGGTTGAACAATTCTAACATCACTAATTGAACTACGCCAAATTAAATTCATTGTTACTTTCTTATTGAGATTTATCTCTCCTATCCTTTCTCATACAGAAAATTAGTGGTTCGAGTATGGGGTGGCTAGTAATGTGAAATAGAAGAACAATTATGCCTCTTGCACACTATCGGATGACAGCAGTGTTGCCACGCATTTTCCACAACGTGAAATTACGGCAAGTGTACGGTATTAAATTTTGTAATATACTAAAGGAGTTAAGAGTGTTGAATTTACAAGGATTGTAATTCAATTTCTACTTAGTACTATAATTGTGTAGCTCTTATTTTATCTAGATGAGTGAAATTTTGAAATTAGTGATTTTAACTAAATTAACGTGATTCAACAAATAATGCAAGATATAAGAATAAACAAGATGAGAAAGCCTAGGGTTATGACCTCACCTCACCATCAAATATGATTTTCAAAAGCCTAGTTATCTCTAATCAATTTTTCATGTTTATAAACAAGAATCCAAATGTAATTCTATCCACTCTCTCGAGTGCCGACTAAAAATTAATTCTAGAAATTAATTCAATATCTCTATTCCAAATTAAAATCAAGAATTTATCGAAGTCCTAGTTCTTTTATGGAGTAAGCTTTATAGATCCTATACTTTCTCTCGAAATCGATAAAATCTCTATTATGTCAATTTTATGATCATACCTAAATTCCTCTCTCGAGTGCCGAAATTGACTAGCATCTACTCATTCAATTAGTAGCCAATTAATTGAAAGCATTAAAATCTTAACACAAATACACACATGGAAAATCAAATAGAAATAACTAAAATTAATCAATCCATATTCTCAAATTTTGGTTACAATCAAACCGTAGATTAAATGTTCAGTTCATGATGGAAGAATTAAATCTAAACATATTGATGAATAACATAAAAAGAAAAAGAAAGAAAAACTCTTCGAAGCTTTTAATTGAAATTCCCATTGATGTTCTTCATGCCTCCTTGCTTGATTCCTTTGTGTTAGCCTTCTTATCCTTGATGAATTGTATGTTGAATTGTCTTCAATCTTGCCCCCTTCAATTGTTCGAGAAAATAGATCTTTTGAATGATATTTATAGTATCTTGAAGTTCTTGGATGAATTAGGGTTGAATTGGACTAAGAAAAGGGTTCAAAAATATAAAAATTCCTTTTCCTACATAGCCAGCGCCTTGGTGCCCAAGATGGGCACTACGACGCTGGGAATTCTACTAGTTTTCAGTACGATGGGTTTCGTGGTGCCCAGTTCGAGTAAAAATTCAGACTGCGCATCCATTAGTATTTTTTCATAACTTTCTCGTCCAATGTCCGATTGAGGTGATTCAAAGCTTGTTAAAAAGATAACTCAAAAGGATACAACTTTTCTTCAGACATCATTCTCTAATTCGAATGTTTTCTATGGAAAACTGGGTTCCAATATGAGGCAAAAACTTCGGAGCATAACTTTTCAGTTGAAAATTGATTTGTAATCATATTTTGACTAAGTTTGATCCATTTGACATCTTTCTTCATCCCATTGACTCTTAATACTCTCGGATCTTCATTGTAAGATTTGACACAACTTTTAAGTATTTGCATTTTGTCCCCGAACTTTGGATATTTTACAATTTGGTCCCTTCTATCCAATTTTGCCAACTTTTGCTTATTTTCTTTAATTTTATCAACCTATATCGTAACATCAAAACACACATTAAAACGTTCTAAAACACTCTCAAGGATAACAAAATAGTAAATTAAGTGACATAAATATCATAAGTGTAAAGCACTCATCAAGTGTTGACAGACCGCTTATGTGTAGAAATCTTGACCATTGATTGGAAAAAGTATTTTCAAAATTAATGTATAAAAATCTACCAATTCACATAATGTCCAAGAAGCTGTCAAACTTGATATATATGTAGCTCGATTGATAGAAGAAGGCTCATATTAACTTTCATAAATTGTTTTACGAAAAGAGAAAAAAAATCGTAAGTATTTTTTTTTTTTTTTCAAGTATGTTTCATTAAATTGTCTTTGGAGTTTGAATATGGGAATATGCGATTATATTACGTATATGAATAATTATGATACTTACTCCTTATACGCCGTACTTACAAATATGTTTTATAAATCGTGTCTTCCTCTTCTAAAATATTATTACGCTTTAATTAACAATGTAATTTTGATTCACTGAAGCCCAAACAAGTGCTTATCAAGAATTATGACGCTTACCTTTTATATATCTTTGACTTGCAAATACAAGTTTAGTCAATCTTGTCGTCCTCTTTTTCCAAAAAATTACGTGGTATGAACAAAGGTTTAGAGGCACTCTTCATCGCACTAGATCTCCAAGTCCACACCATAGAACAAAGAGAAATATACCATCAAACAAACATTAACATGCAACAATAAAATGGCTAAGTGTGTGTTTGAACCACATTATTTTCAAAGAATGTATTTTGAAATCATAGATTGATAGAGAATGTATTGTTAAAAAATAAGGAAATTTTTTGAATTTACATGTAATATTATTTTATTGAATAATGTATGATTAAAATAATGTCAAATTACTGTTTAAAAAAGCAGTTCAAACAAAGCCTAAATGTAATGCGATCAATGATGACAATTCCATTCAAACAATTACAGAGCACAAGTTGACATGCAAAATATTCGTGCATCACATTGGTGAACCTATCGAAAATTGAGCTTGAAGATACATACAGCATTTTCACATTTGGGACATTTTTCTTTAGTTTGCAATTACTATTTCCTAACAACACTAACTTCTCACATCATCTCTATATCACAAGATACACTAAAGTATTTGTCTACACACAACAATAAACAGCCCTTGACAAACAGTAAGTAACCTGAAGAACTCCTAAAAACCCGGGTTTCAGGCATTTTCTGCTATTCCGATCCATTTAGCTCTTCCTTGCTTGTTCATCTTTGCCTTTCAACTTGAGGGATTTCTGGCCATATATCTGCTTTGAAGAAGGTCCAACCAGTAGGAGACGTGACATAACGTAGGCCAATAATTCTTCACGATGTGAGAATGTGAAATCCAAGTGCGCGTACTCAAACTCATTGTATGAAGCCTCCACTCCAGCTTCTTTCATCAACTTATAATGCTTTCTCACCATAGAGGGCCGAATGACCTTGTCCTTTCGCCCGGCAACAAGATCAACAGGAATATCAATAAAGCCATAGTATTCCCCCAAGTCCAATGGCTCGGGAGAACCGTACTCTTCCAAGTTAGCAGCTGCACTCCCATAATCGAACATGATAAACTTCTTCGAGTGCTTCATTTGTGCCAGATGAAGTGCCACACGAAATGCTACACCTGGCATGTCGTTCATATTATAGTGTGGTATCCCCAATACCCCGACCCAGTTTGAACTGTCCCCACCAACAACATAACTCATAAGGGTCTGTACCAATCCCCCAACTGCGGGTAAGTTGTGGAAGTCACGAGCCAACTTATTCAGCAGCATACGGAAAAAACGAGTGGGGATGTAGAAAGCAGGCAGGAAGGGAGCTAAGACGGGAGCAACCAAAAGAAACAGGTACTCCATCATTGTGAACACAAATGTAGAGTCGTCATGAAAGCCAGCAGGTGATAGTAAAATCATTCTTGAAAGCCTGTGGGGCTTCTCCTCAATCCGACGTGTAATGACATATATCAAAATAGCGGCGCCTCCAAGGCTGTGACAAATTGTACAAAGTTCATAAGGCTGTTCACTGCTACTTCCTTCCTCCTGATCATGTCGGCCAGACTTCAACTCAGAAACTTTGATTTCATGTATCTTCTCTATCATTGCTGGTATATCTTGCGTTCCATGCTCATTAATTGAGTAACGCCAATACCTTCACCCATTTAGTACTTTAAGATATTTAAATAATACAAAGAATATGATGTACAAGTTCAGTATCAGAATGGAAATGATTGTCAATACTCTACACCTATATCGTTTTTCCGGACAACTAGAGATGTATGAAAATGTCCAGAAAGAGCATAAACCCCCCTAAAATCCTACTTCTTAACTAAAAGGACATTCTGTACAATGTCATTTCATTCTCAATCATAAAACTCACAAAAAACCAACTCTAACAATGATTCCATGCACCAGAACACCATAAGCCCATGCAGGATTTTTAGGTCTCCGCCTAGACCTAGTGGCGGTTTTGGACGGCCGACTGTATCCATAGGGATGAAATTGAAGTACAAGTGGGAGGGGTGATCAACCAAACCTTAAAAGATTCAAGGTGAAGGATATATTTCTGAAAATAGTAAATAATCGAGGAACTACCTCCATAGACAACTTCAAAATTTCATAAATTCTTTTTAATGATTTAACCAAGTGAAGTGCCAAATTTACACCAAATTGATCATTATTATTTCCATTGATTTTCTGCTTCAATAAATTAAGAGATTGGTGTAGTGAACGAGTAATACAAACTGGGGAAAAAAGGAAGTAAGAAGCAATGGAACAAATTTTAAACTAAATACCATTAAATTAGAACAAACAGTTAAAAGGACATATGTTTCATATAGCACTTTTTGAAAACATTTCGATAAAATACATCACTACTGAATAACAATTTGCTAGAAGTCACCTATCTTTCAGATTTGACTTACAAAATATATTCAACGTTATATAAATTGGTAAACTTCAGTTATCACAATATTAAAAATTTGAATCCGAAAGGTGGAAAGATTCAGAAAATAACTATTCCTTTTCTAGAGAAAATATAAATACTCTTGTGTTCAAATTATAACTTAGAATAATGTGTAAACAGGCACTTACTGTCGTGATGAAATATTTTTGTCAATGTGTTCTCTGGAAACCAGCCCACGAAGATTCCCAAGAAAAACATCATAACCTGAGTATGCAAGAATTTAATCCATGTAATTATGCCTTGATATCCGACCATCAAAATGCATGCTATACAGATACAAACCTTGATCAAAGGCTGCAAAAGCTGGTGAACCAACAATCCCATTGGACACCCAACTGCATCATCATATGATAAGGGTAAGAAAGAAATGTATACACTAGATAAACTCCCGAAAGAAAAAAAAAAAAAAAAAAAAAAGGGAAAAAAAAAAAAAAAAAAAAAAAAAAAACCCCCAAAAAAAAAAAAAAAAAAAAAAAAAAAAAAAAAAAAAAAGAAAGAAAAATGAAGAAGGAAATTCATCAAGATTCCCCATTGAATGAGCTCTTAGAACAGAGCAAGAAAATCTAGCCCAAGAAAAAAATCGATCAATCAATCTACTCTGCATAGCCCACAACGATGTGAAAATTATCCAAATTAAAGGAGAGAGTGCACAATTTTTTTTGATAAGTAATCAAGTAATTTTATTAATCAATGGATAATATATTGTAGGTGTATTATCAATTTAAACAAGAAAGAAACGATATAGAATTTGGCAACCCTTCTATGTGAATAGTGACTGCAGCATTAAATCTAGTATACAAAGTCATATAAAAAAATTCTCTAATATGCTTTGTTGTTCTTGTTTGGTCTTTGAAACAGGCAAACTAATATGTTCATCATTCCATAAACCTGAAGAGCAGGAGGGAACACGAATAAAAAAATATAATTCAATCCATGCCAACCACTTGGCTATAGCCAAATCCCATTAATTGACGAAAGAGCAGCAATAAACACTAGCATCTCTTAAAAATAAGGACCTAATTACACTATTATAGGTCCAATCAATATACGACAAAAGGAAACAATGAATAACCAATAAAAGAAAAAGAGACGTGAAGGTGAAAATAACTAGGATGAAAACAACAAACATTTTTTAAGCATAAAATAAAAAATCGAGCAACAGAATAGTTCTCAACGATTTCTTAGCAATAGAGTAGATCATTTGTCAAATATAACTTCTGATTATGTTGGATGGTTAACTGAAGTATATGGTAAAGCAGGACACATATTTTGCATAATACTTAGTGAACCACAAGTTCCACAACTCGCCAAAAGTATGACTCACCCCATAGATGAATCCAATATTCCATGTTGCAGATAAACAACCTTTCGTGCATCACGCCTGTAACATTGAAATATAAACATCAGTATGCCATTCATAAATAAATCAATTTATTTCATAATTTATATCGTAAAAGCTCAACATTCAGAATGATGATTTTTAAAAGCCGTTATTATAAAAGCGCACACATATGAGGGTATTCAACTACCACACACCTTGGAATCCTTTCCAAAACAAGAATATATCCATCTGCAGTAACCACTCGAATAGCCTCATAAGGGTACCTAAACAGAAAGAAAATTCAAAAATTTACTTGAGAATTGTGGACATACAAATAAATAACTAAACAAGTATGTGCAGAGAGAGTTAGTGTGCGCGCGTGGGTGAGAGAAGAGAGACAGACTTTCTGAATGCAATTTTCTACCACTAGTTCAGTTCTCTCTCTCTCTCTCTCTCTCGCTCTCGAATGCATTTGCTACCACTAGCTCAGTTTTTTATTTTTCTCTGAACAGGGATGGCTGACAGAAATCATCTCAAAAATTTACAAACTGCAGAAAATAAAGTCCCCTTACCCAAGTTCTGTTATGACATCTCGACATGTCCGAGCATCTGTATTGAGGGAATTGTAAGGAGTTGGGTCATTATCTGAAAGAACGGCTGTGGAGACAGTGGTGCCCACACAATCAGCAGTAATGTCTGTAAGACCATCACTGTTATGAGAAAGCCATCTCAACAATCTTCTGAAGGTGTCTGTTGGCGATAGAACACAATGTGCTACTTTATGAACAGAATCAAATATGGATTCTATGAAGATCTCAATAGCTAGATGCAGATCCTAGAAACATAAATAAAGGATTAGAATTCACGTTTATAGTTCCTTTATCTTTGAGAAAGCAAAATAGAACTGGCAGACTTTCATCAATTTTTTTCCCTTTGTCTGTTGAGTTCTCCTTACATGACAGGATGCTTCTGGTCGTAAAATTATAATAAAATGGTAACGCACCATATCAAAGTTTTGAGTCAACAAGAAACATACAAAATATCCAAGATAGATAGACAAATAGCTAACAGAAGGTCATGACTCTGTTAAACCTCTTGCAGTTATATTTTGCAGAGTTGTCAAGTAGATGGCAAATGAGTACTAACTTCCTCATCTCTATGGTGCAGAATTTTGCCCCGGGGGGGGGGGGGGTATCCAACTCAGCAAAGCCTTTGCCCACTGCTTTGAGTAGACCATATGATCCTGCATCACCAATGTGCTTGTCCTGGAGCAACTCCTTCAAACCCTAATTTACTAGGTTCACGACTTCACGGTGCATCATTTTTCGATATTCCTAGTGAAGGAACCTTTTTTCATTTCCGAAAATTATGCCCTTAACATTTACATACATTTCTATTTTTCCATATGTTCTCTCACATATCTTGTTTACTCATGTATGTGTGCATGGTGGGGTTGGGGGTCTCTCCTTATCTGACTTAAAAAAATACATGTTCCATACTTATTCTATAAACATTTTTACTTTTCCACGACAAAATAATTCCACGAGAGGTAGTTAAACAAAATGCAAAGGCTCAAAACAACAAATTAGAAGGTCAAGAATTCCATCAATTCTCAAAAAAACTGGAGACAGGCAGAAAAGATTCTAATCATCATTTAGATAAAAAAAATTGGAAAAGCACATCAGACCTCAACAACACCTCGTCTCCGATCTGTGGCTCGTTGAACAATATGATCCTTGAGGGTTTGCGATCTTCTAGGAGAATTTGTATTTGAAGACAGGAGGTTTCCTGAGTCAGAGGCTTTAGAAGCCCTACGAGAAGACGAAGTAAAGAAATAAAGGGGTATGCCCAAAAGTAATTTCAAAGGGAACAGAAGCCATGAAAGAATACATCTGATCCAATGTATCCAACTTCTATTGTGGTTGGTAAAACTGCTTCGCCTAGAGAGTCTAGAACTTTGTGATAAAGGAGACCCTGGATGAATGTCATCATCACTATCTTCTTCAGATAAATAATCCACACTTGAGGACGTGTCAGAATCTACGGAGAGTTCATGAATGAACTGATTGAAGGATGATACACCACTGCAAACATCAAGAAGAAAATTGTTAAATAACCTAATTCATATAGAGCAAAGAGCAATATTTGTAGCAAGTTTGCAGATAGAGAGGTAGTAAGAAGTCAATATCTCATATGCCTTTTATTTTATATGAGAAAGAGATCTGTGTTGTATAAGCTAATAAAATTGTAAATATTGATCTAAGAAACACATAAAATGACAGCTAGCCCAGTTCTCTCTCTCTCTCTCTCTCTCTCTCTTAATTGTTCACAAATGGAGGAAGAAACCTATAAAATATACAACTAAGCTTGCTTAGTATTGTCCAAAAGCCCAACTCCACAAATACCCCAAGAAATGCAACAATATGTAGCTCTTAACATCTCAAAGTCCCAACCAAATTCAATGCCAAACACACATATACAGCAGTGAAATAAGCCAACTAAGCCATTATCTCAAACATAACAATTTAGAACATATTATCACCCCCCTGTAACTCAAATAAGCTCCGCGAATATTAAAGAATAACAAAATCTATGAATAAGCAAGCATATACAATTATTGATAATACTCAGAACTCTACAGATTGTCAAGCTCTTCTCACCTTTCAACTTTTCCAAAGAGGCACACCACTATTAGAAAGGTTGTTCATTTGGCTGATATTTTCTTCAAAAATGTATAATGCATAGCATGAAACTGACTATCTTAATTGAGAATTAGCAACGTGATCACCAACATAGAAGAACAATTTGTATCCCATACCATGTTTTCCCTTCCTCTGGCTAAATTATAGGCTGAAACTGACTATCCTAATTGAGAATTAGCAAGGTGATCACCAACATTTGAATCTTATGGAATTAGGATTTATTTCACTCCCTTGTCCACTACACTTGACTAAAGTTAGCACTGTAACAATTGAATGATTCTCTGTCTTTATATTTGTTTGCTGGTAGCACTAATAATAATATGAAAAAATAATAATACTAATGTTCAAAGAACTAGGGATTATGAGTAGAAAGAAAATGAACACAAAAACATCTTAAACTACCCATCAAACTGAATGCCTACTCCTGCACATTCTGCATATATCAAAATCAAACACAATGCAAAGTGCCTTATCGATCATTAGATTAACCACAAGGAGAGTCAAAAACTCAAACTTAAGACCAAAATCGCTCAAAGAATTGTCACATTAAGCACGTAATTCCAGTTCCAACCACATATATCGTAATTTTCTAGTTAGTTTCCAAAATGATATTTCCTTTTTGCCAATTACCTAAAGTTTGATTGAGAGAAATACACAGAGTTAAAAAGGAACTAATCAAAGATATAAAACGGAAGATTATTTAGAGAAAGAACAAGCAGAAAACTCTCACAGTCAGATGAAAGATCCTAACATTTCAATCTTAATCCATTCTCAGTTTGAATAGACTTTTCAATCCTTGGGAACCCCAGTTCTCTTGGCCAGTACAACTTGAAAAATGGTAAACAATATCTAGTGCAATATAATGAAAAAAGACAAGAAAATTCTTCATCCAAATCATGACCAGAAAAGAGTTGCTTGAATAACTATCTAGAAGATCAAAACTTACTTTTCCATCCAACGTGGGAGCCGAGGTCCACGAAAAGTCGGCCTAAGCTCCCAGCCATGAATGCCTTCAAGAATAGAAGTTTTCCCTGGTAAGATCGCCAGCAATATAGCTGATACTCCATTTATCAGCCTTACAACATTGTTCAATGATTCATAAGTGATCGTCTTTACCGACCTAATCAAGTACATCACCATGGAAAGAACTTTAAAATGCTTATTATAGTTGACAACAAGAAGACGAAACAAAATGCCAAGCCCAAAGTATAAGTGAGTAAAAAAAATTGTGCATCACCCATGAGAGAGTTTAAATAAAAAATGGATATACCTTTAAAGAGATGAAAAGGAAGTAATCTAAATGTGTAATTTGTGAGAAACACAGGTGTTCAAAGCTTGCATCTCCTAAGAATAAAAGATAAGATATCTTTAGAAGTAAATTCATCTGTTTTCAGTTGGTTCCCACGATCCATATCATACTATTTAGTTTCGAGAGCCCCTTTGCACATACGAAGAACACGAGCCATAGTAGCAAAGCATTTACAGGGCAGCATGTTATTTCAAATGACACATGTTAAGAACTGGTATACCTGTGTTTCAAATGACCTAATTTGATTAAATCGTTAACAAAACTATGTACTGAAATCATCCTCCTAAATGCTTAATTAATTCGTTTAGAGTACTTATAGACTTGGATTTCAGACAAAAACGAAAAGGAAAATGGTGAAAAACTGACTTCCCTCGCCCTTTCCTCTCCTACTATAATAGAAGTACCTGTTTGAAATCATTTTCATTCATAGTTTCTGTTTGCCCACATTTGGACACCTGTTGGAAAATGGAAAATGCTGTTGTGTACCCAGTTTTCCCAAGCAATCATGTCTAAAGCAGGAAAAATTGGTTTGAAATTTTCACTGTACATGAAAATAAACAAATACAATAACAAAAATGTACTCCATGACGGGAGGAGAAAAACACATTTTCCTTTTTCGAAAATGCTCCTTCATGTCAATAAATATGAATATTTAGTTAAATATCATGAAAAAAAATGTTTAGAAGTGAATGTAAAATAGTGTTCTTCGGACCCCCCAAAATATATATATATATTAATTTCTTCCATGTGGACTATGTTAATGTAGAAACCCAACTCTTCCATAAACCAATACTACAGAAATTCAGATTTTCTTTTAGCAAGTCTAGTTCATGTAAACCCTTTGATTTAATTTTAATCCATTCTAATATTTGGGGTCCTTCACAGACTATTACAATGGGCTATTCCAGTTACTTTTCGTTTTTACTTGAGTATATACACCCTAAGCAAAGTCAGTTCCAGTTACCAAAAATTTAATCAATTTATGCTACAATGCATAAAACCCAATTTTCTTATAAAACTGAAGTTCTTAGTATTAACCATCCATTAGAGTATAAAAACTAAACCCATATAAATATTTTCGTACTATCCTTCAACACTCGTGCCCTGGTAAAACCCAACAGAAAGGGCAGACCGAATGTAAGCACAGGCATGTTCTAGATTCTGTTTGTGCCTTGTACATTTTGTCCCCTTTCTCCTAAAAGTTTGGAGAGAAGCTTCACTTAGTGATGTTTATGCTTTTAATTGGATTCCCTCTCCTATCACCGATAACCAATCACCAATCATCTTATGAATATCTCTTCTGATAAGTATCTGTTTACTTTTAAGGCATCAACCAAAAAATAATAAAAAATTGAAGGGACTGACATATCAGTTCTCTGGTTCAGTTTTCTCTCTCCTTTCACTTCTTCTTTGGCACTAGAATTTACCAGTATTTTTCTCATTTGTCAAGTTAACCAGCTAACTAAACTCATTTATCTTGGGCAAATCCAAAGAAGGTTTTCCTGTTTTCATTTAAAAACACACAGCTCCATCCATCTGCTTCTCCCTAAATACCCTAAATGAATACCGAAAATGAATATATTTTGCAGCCCAGTAAATAATTCCACAAAGTATAGAAACAGAAAAATAATAGCTAAATTCAGTTTAATTTAATGCATTAGTCAGTGGAAATTAATGGCGAAAAGAAAACCATAAAAAAATTAATAAGATATTAGCTAAATCCAATTCAATTATAGGCATTAGTACCTGAAAAACAAAGGGGAAAAACTCAAGTCAACAAAATAAATTAATAAATCTTTCTTTTCTGCTAATTAACTTAATCAGGATAATCATCAAATGCATGTATAATTCCAGATTATATAAAAGCACATACAAGAACATTTAAAATATATAATAATAATAATAATAATCTGCACGAGCATACAGAAAAGAAAAGGGAAACTCACTCTTTGGTTACAGCAATAACGCTGTCAACAAATCGTTGCATTGCTGCTTAGATTATATGTGTTATTGTAAGTACAATATATGTACGATTGAAAACGGATATAAATTCGAATAGTTTTCGTACAGTAATAAAAATGATAAATTAAATCTGATCGAATCCTAGAAAACGGAAACCAGAAATCTCGTAGAGAATTGGGAAGGAAGTCCGATGAAGTAGGAATTTTTGTGCAGCGATCCGATGCCGAGTTGTCGTCCAGACGAAGTAATGTCGGTTATAATTGAAAATGGGAAAGGATACGCTGTAGAATTTTTGGTCGCCAAGGACGTGTCGCATTCTGCAACTATTTCCTCTAGTTTCTTATTGCTGACGTGTCCGTAATGGCTACGCACGTGTTTATCCATTCAACAATGCTTTCCACCACTACTAGTGGTGAACATCAGATCTTTATATACGCTTCTTATGGGTGGGTCGAGTTAGTAGAATAAGTAAGTGTGGAGACGTTTGATCACGAGTTCAATTCTCTCTGTCAACATTTTTTCGGTTGAGCATGTCGCACAGAACTTGTTTCGTGCGATTTACCTGTCTAGGGTGGTTTATAAGCTATTACGTCAACTCGATGATTTAGTTAGGTGCACCCGAAGAATAGCAGCTGCGAATTCCTCCGTCATAAAATAAAAAATTAAAAAATAATCAGATCTATATGATGTTTGAGCCCCAATTTCCTTTTTAGAATGTATTTTGAAATAATAGATTAACGAATAATGTGTAACTAAAAATAATAAAAAATTTTAATATTTTTTTATTAAAAACGTATGATTGAAAAGAATAGAAAAAAATGTATTTCGTAAATAATGAATGTTAAATAAGAAACTTAGTGTTATTGAACATTAGTTTAGATATCAATATATCATAAGTAAAAATAGTTGAAAAAATTAGGGATAGACTCTCCATCCTTAGGCTCCATTTGATTTGCGTTCTAATTTTAAATTTTGAATTTATTATTATTTTTTTTTTTAGATGATCCATTTTAAAAATTGTAGGAAATATGTTTATGTCAGTCTAGAAAACTTATTTTCAAGCTATCATATTTAATTTTTTATCTCTTGTGTGGGTCTGTAACAATTATATTTTTCATTCTCATTCTTCCAAAAATGGGAATTAAACAGGGCTTTAGTTGCATTATCAAACCGCTAAGCCAATGTTTGAGTCCCATTTTTGGTTGAAAATTACTTTTGTATTAATGGATATTTGGAGAATGTCTTAATAAGTAGAGATATGTCTTAGATTTTTTGTGCAATATATTGTATTGAAAGAATGTGTGATTAAAAATGATTTTTTTTTTTAAAAAAAAAAAAGGAGTTTTAAGATAATTGGACATGAACATGGACTAAAAATGGAAAAAATAACATGATATTTAAGTTTCAAACTAGGCCTTCGTATTCTAGACTGGGCTCTTGATAATACTATGGATATCTAGTCAAATCTATGCCACAAAAAGGCAATATTGAAGAGACAGGAATAAACTCCTTACATGATATACTTAGAGAAACATCCACCTGTCGTAAGGATGATAATGACTACTACAAATATAACATGTTCTACTTCTATACGATCCTTCTCCACCATATAATATGCACTAATATGACTTGGTAGAATAGCCAAGACATTTAACAACAAATTTAAATTCATGAAATGAAACATCAAATTATTTTTTTTAAATTGTTTAATGATATGAAACAGTTTTTTTTTTTTTTTAACTTTTCATTCCAATTTATTCAAATTTCTAACATGTATGAGATTTATACGTGGAATTATATAAACACAAAAGTATACCACGTAGCCTATATGTTTCATTTCAATATATATATACTAAAAAAAAAACTTTTAAAATGTCAAAGGTTATGAAATGCCAAAGGACTTTGCATTTATTCTACACATAAAATACATTGAAATGAAACCAAAACAATTATTCTCTTAAATATTCAATGAAGGGCTACCAACATTTTTTTTAAAGGCCAATTGGATTTTACATTTCATTTCTTCCAAGTCATTTATACCCTCCATTTATTCATATACAAAAAATTGTTTTGCCCATTTTCCATAGCCTAAGGCACTTTGAATTTGAAATTTTTCTAAAGGGGAGGCAAAGAGTACGCTGAATTTTTACATATTGAACACAAAAGGGTATTCAAACTTCAAGCATTAAGGTAGGGTGTTCTCGGCACTTGTGTAAGTGGTTAAATAATTATTTGTTTTCGTTTCGCATTAAACGTATTGTTGTGTCACTCATGAATGAGGCACCATTTGGTGGCTCAAATAAGAGAAAGAGATTGAAGGCGACACTATTATTGTGTCACTCATGAAGGAAGCACTGTTTGTTGGTTCAAATAAGAGAGAGAAATTGACGGTGACACAAAAATCAAAGTTTGCATTTCTGAAAACATATATGTATTTTATCATTTACTCTTGTGTCTTCCTACTGAGTATTATTAGTAGTACTCACATCCACTACAATCTCAAAGGTTGATGTGAGGCATGGCGGCGGCTTGCTATAGTTGCAAGTGCTCGGCAATTTGAAAAACTTTCAACTTTCTAGTAAAATTTTCAATTTATGTAAATGTATTATGAATAATTAGATGGCACTTTTAAAGACATTTAAACATCTGTTTCGTTCAGTTTTATGCACTATTCATGTCAACCATAATTTGTAAACATTGGTATGACTATGACCGAAGTTTATTCACTGCTGATTATAATTCCAGATTCTGTCTTCCATTTGAAAATAGTATAATTTGAGATACATTACATATTTTAGAGTAAAATCAATGGTATTTGAAAGGTCTATGAGTCTTCTAATAGTAGCCTTTGGAATTTCCTTAAAACATTTTCTAGAGAAAAAGTTATGTCTATTTTGGTAAACTGCGTCGTTTCAAATTCGGGTTTTCTGTCCAGCATGTTCGAGCAATATTTTCATGCTTCAATCGCTATCATCAAGCCCCCCAAATTTTTATATGTGGTACAATATGAATGCTTTAGTCCCTATAAAAATTTCATAAATTTTTACCAACATTTGCTAGGACAAATATATTTTTCTTCCTCTATTGTTCAATCCGAAATTGCTGAATAACCTCCAAATGTTTTCTAAAACCAAATTTCATCATAATTTTATAAGTTTATATGAATAACTACCTCCCATTATATTTTTATTTATTTTCAAAACCCAAAACTTTTTAATTTAAAAATTACTTTGGCTAACATTAAAGGGGTCAAACTAAAAAAAGATCGATTACTTTTAACGCTTTGGGTTCCGAAAATTCGGGACGTTACAGGAAAAACGAGAGAGAAATGAAGAAGAAAAAAATGAAGTAGAAAGAAGGACTGAATTGCGTTTTAAAAACAGGTGTCGTTCGAGCGAAATTCGAGCGAGGACATTCTGTTATTGTCGCTCAAGCGATAATCAAGTAAGACGCAATTGACAAAAATAGCACTAGCATATGAAAGTGTAGAATTTCACCCCCCAATTTAAAATTTTCGACTTTTAGCATCACTTCAAAAACTTTAAAATCTAGCACCTTTTTTTTTTTAACATAGAATAAAAATATTACCAACATGGCACGCACTACAACATGTCTATCCACCCAAATGAGCAGATGATCACATATATGACATGCTCAATGATTAGACACGCATCCCCACACATAGAGATTAATTTCGAATGGAGTAAATTTTATACATGACCCACGTGAAAAGTGCACTAAATACATGCAAGCAAGACACAAAACCTTAAATTTGTAAGAAGTGACAGCTAAATCACTGCAAAAAGAGTCTATTCCCAGATGCATGAAAATCAAATCTAATGCCACTAGGACCTATAATTCAATGAAACGCGGTGTATAATGTTCTTTCTCCCCCTTTCTATAAGAACCTTTTTTTGTTTAAATCTTATGTACAAGCCCATCTTCCTTAAGCTACTAAGAAGGCTCATGTAGCGAGTTTTGGGTCGGTGACTCCCAAATCAGTTGACTTTAGGACACAGATTATGAAAGACACCTCAAACTTAATTGCTCGAGTCAATTAGGCTACGAAGACAGGTATAATTTGTAACTCAATAATAATATTTTCTAGTGAGACTTGAGGGAAACACCAGAATTTATGTCATCCAGTTCAAGATCAATTCAAGCCCAAGGTCAACCTCATCAACAACTTATAGCCATCCCAAACCTCACACATGCGGTTAAGACTTACTTATAGGGTCCCAGTGTATGCTGTACAGATAAGATATGAAGTGACATATACCGAGTACTGCACACAGACTCAATTTTAGTAATGGGAATTAGGAGCTAACCATGTATTGAATGCAAATTGGATCACAAGTTGCAAATTCAAGTAAACATATACAATACAATGCTATAGGAACACGGAAAGACCTTCCCTAAATTTTTATTTTTTTTATTTTTTTTCTTTATATGATGAAATTTAAAAAAAAATGAGAGATAGATGCAAATCAACATAAACATGCAGTGAGATGAATACAAAATTGAACAAATTAAATGAACTAAACATGTATGTACCTAAGAAGGTGATCAAGGAAGGACACAGATACCGACAGCCTTTCTAAATGACTCAACCTCATATAGTCCAGGGGTTTACTGAATAGACCGGCAACCTGATTTTCTGTAGAAATATGTTCTAGGGATACCCAATTGGGCTCAACAAGCTCTCGAATGAAGTGATGACGAATGTCAATATCTTTGTGGTCTTAGAATGCTGAACAGGATTTTTGGAGATGTTGATAGCGCTAGTGTTATCATAGAACACAGTCATGGTACCCTGATTTATCCCATAATCACTAGCATTTGCTTCATCTACAACAATTGAGTGCAACACCGGTTGCAATGTGTTCTGCCTCGGCTGTAGACAGAGAGACTGAGTATTGTTTCTTACTCATCCATGACAAAAAATTAGAACCAACATCGAAACATCCACCCAAGGCACTCTTTTTCATCGGCATTTCCAACCCAATCGACATCAGAGTAGTCGACGAGATCAAAATTAGACTCTCTAGAATATAAGATCTCATGATCTACGGTCCCATTAACATACCTAATGATACGCCTCACTGTACTCAGATGGGATTCCTTAGGATCTGTCTGAAATCTCGCACACACTCCAACATTGAATACTATGTCGGGTCTACTGGCTATAAGATAGAGTAAGCTACCTATCATACTCATTTACAATGTCTAATCAACACTCTACCTGTAGAATCATGATCAAACTTAACACTCGTGCTCATGGGTATCCTTGTGTATTTTTTTACTATCCAGTCCAAATCGCTTTACAAGATCTTTGACATACTTTGATCGAGAAATAAACAACCCATAG